GGTCTTTAAGAGGAGACTAGATGAACACCTTGCCGGGGTCATTTGACCCCAGTACTCTTTCCTGCCATGGCAGGGGGTTGGACTTGATGATCTGCTCAGGTCCCTTCCGACCCTACTAACTATGAAACTGTAATTCTGGACAGTGATTCGAATCACCAAATCGAATCACTGTCCCCCAAATCACCCGAATCCAAAGCGAAATACTAGCCGCTTTGCACAAGCCTACTGTTGGGGCCAGACAGAATTGATTTTTCTGTACCTTGAATTCATTATTTAGGTTCTTTGGGCATGTTCCCCCTTTAAGCTTCCTCTGAAGCCTTGGTCGTGTTTGTACCTAGATGTGGGAAATTGGCCTGGGTGCACTGGCAGTCTCAAATGATACTGAGAAACCTCTCAAGGGCCTGGATTTGGTGTCAGAAAGGAATCTTTGCCCATACCAGATTAGCAAGGACCACTGGGATTTTTGCCTTCCTCCTATAATGTAATATGTGGTCTACTCTCTGGGGTCATCTGAGCATATTTTACCTAACATATTCCCTTTCTAGTGGCCTAAGCATTTAAGTGGCCCCTTTGTCTGTCCTGCTTTCTTTCTGTGGTACAATACAATTTTTTTTATCAGTAATTCTATCTGTCTTGTGTGATTGGGAGAAATGGGGGTGACAGAGTAGGTGTCTCCTTGAACAAGACACTTATGATCGCCCATAAATACAGGGAACTGGACTCAGTGACTTGGGAAGTTCCTTCTGTTTCAGCTTCCCTATTGTTTTACAGCCAGTACAGAGCTCACCATCTCCCATTCTAAGTGCAAGAATCACTTCTTTGTTGTGTCACTCCTTTCTGTAATGTAAATACATACATATTAACAAATATACTGTACTCAAACAGGACGGTTGGCTACATGCTTTTCTCTCCCTGGGGAAGGAGAGAGAACAAATGCGACAGATGTTAATCTCAGTTCACTGGCCTGAGTAGCCTATCCGAACTTTGCTCTTAGGTGGAGGTTTTATGATTTGTCTGGCAGAGTAAGTCAATAAGAGGCAATTTCTGAAAATTCTGTTTCTTTGGTTTTTTTGTTTTTGGTTTTTTTTTAAAGTGAAACAGATGGCCAGGCCTCAGGCAGCAGTGATTCAGGGGACTGGATTTTTACAATTAGAGAAAAGGATCCTAAGAGTCTGGAGAATGGAGCAGCCCAGCCACAAGAGCTAGAAAAAAATAAGGTACTTTATTAATGTTTGATATTAAGAGTATGTAGAAAGATATACATCTAAACACAGTATTGCCCAATGTCCAGCGTATTTTTTGCTCTGTATTAGTGTTTTAGTTTAGTTTTTTTAGGGTTTGAGGTTTTTTTTTCTTCCCTATAAATAAGCAGTAGATTTTTTTTCATGACAACTATAATATCAGTAACTCTCCACTTACAAACTTTGCACCTGCCAAGAAAATTTGGAGTGGTTTATTCAGCTTTACTGTGTGTTCTCCAGAAAAACTTTTTTCATAATGCACATTTGTCATTCTCAAGACAATTGTATTAATTTAATTATTCACTGAGAACATACTTCAAACCACATTGGTTTTGTAAATATGGACAGTTGCAAAACAACTGATCTAATAACATTATTCATTATTAAAACAATAGGAGCTAAGCATGATATTCAAAAAAGAACTTGAGTTTTCTTTTGTTAATCCAGAACTCATTTTATCCAGTGAATAATGAAAAATGCCTAGTGTGTTAGAACCAGATTCCAGGATTCCCTTTATCTCTTGGCTACACTTTTACTCCCTCTTACTTTGTTTGTCTCTGACATTATGGAGCTTGCAGTCCTTTTTGCATAAGGCCTAGCTTCAGCAACCCAGTGCAAGCCTCTACTTCTATGGTTAGAGCACTCTTATGAAACATAGGAGTTGTTGATTTGAACATCTTCCATGTGAAGAGGGCATAGAAACCAAATTTCCGCTTCATGGATGAATGCTGTAACCAGTGTTGGTTAGAGCATTCGCACATGGAGGGAGGGAAGGAAGGAGAGAGAGAGAGTGTGTGTTTGGTTTTTTTGTTAATGTCAGCTGGTTGTCTGTACTGAAAGGGGTTATTTTGGCACTTAAGTCCAAGTGCAGGTTTTATATGCTGAATCTCAGTGGCACATAGGCACCCAATTTAGGACTGAAGGTAGCTGTCTAAGCCTGGGGGAGAGGTGGAATTCTAGGCATACCACTGTCTCCAGCACTTTCTGTTGGCCAGCTTTAGCTGTCCATTTGCTTGCATCATAGTGCCTAACTGTTCCCATGTAAAGTAATAGGGAACTCAGGTGCTTGAATTGTCTGGTTTGAGCAACCTGCTTTCAAAGCGGCACACTTAACTTTTAAGTATGGGAACATAAATTGCACACTCCTTAGTGCATGGCTGTCTAATTGGAGGCCTGTGAAGGGCTGGCAAGCAGCTTGCAGCCCCTGATGGCCTCTTCTTGTGGTATTGCATGCAAAGGCGAGAGCCTAGGGGTTTACATGCTTGCATGGTGTGGGGCTGAGGGCTGTGTTCTGCTGCCACAGCTACCCACATGGCAGAGTCTGTGGGGGGCTGTGTGCCACTAGCCCAGCTTATACAGTGGGGGGATTTGTGGGGCGGGGCTGCCACTGCAGCATGTGCTTCCTAGCCACACCAAAGATGGATAGCCCTTCCTCAGCAAATCTTGCCCTAAATATTTTAGCTCTTCATATTTGTTTGCACGTGTACATAATGGTGTTTTTGTTTATATCAAGTTGATTAGAGCAAATAATTTGTTGAGCAACAATTGAAAGTACTGAGGATATTGGGATTGCTTGAAACTGCAATGCGAATTGCATGTGTTTAATTGCAGTCATGTTACTGATTCTTCATCTTTTTTTCCCTTTCCACCTCCCAAAGGAAAAAAATATTCCAAAGCGGCCTTTGTCTCAGTGCTTATCTACAATTATATCTCCTTTATTTATAGAGGTAAGATAATATTCTGAAAATGTAATTATTTGTAAAATCATTTTGGCTCAGAGGAATGATGATGATACTCAGAGGAATGATGGTGATAAAAAAGTACATAAGTATATAACCAAAGTGTTCAACTTAAAGCACATCTGCCACAAGTGACACAGGCAGCCTCTGTGGCAAATAGGGGAGGGGACAGATAGCAGTGGCAGAAAGGGCAGAAAGAAGAGCAGTAGATCAGGTGAGGAGCACTGGGCAGGAAGCAGAAAGGAGTGGTAGATTACATGGGGAACAGAAGGCAGAGTAGCATATTGTGTAGGGGAAGGAGATAAGAGTGGCGTTTAGAGGGAGTGGGGTTTAATTTGTGGCAAACCTGGCAAAGGTTCGCCCGCACTGCTATAACCAGTCTGAAACAAATGGGTTAATTTTCCTTATGGTCCAGCCGTAGCATTCAGGTTTATTGGTACCTTTTTTTTTTTTTTTTCAGTTTAAGTTTTTTTTGCTTACAATAGTGCTTGCTTCTCCAAAGCCACTTCATGAAAAAGATAACAAGGAGAGACAGTTAAGGAACAGTTAAAGTATTAAAGAGAGGAGTGTGTAAGGGGTGCAGTATTCAGTCTTTCACGTTACTGGGCCATTTTGCCCAACCTGGACTCAGGCTTCTCAGTCTTCTCAACTTAGGCTAGATCGACCAGGCCACCAGATGTTAGCAGTTTTTAATCTTTTAAGGTTCACTTTTAGAGAGGGAAAAATTCTAGATTTGTACTGGAATGTGGCAGACATTTATAGAATTTTGCAAATGTTCTATAGAATATTTATTTGATTTAAGTATGTTAAAAGGCAAGGCACAGTGGTATGTAGAGACATTTCTTTTAAATAAGTTTGTAGAACTGTGCTCATATTAAAGCATGCTCTTCCACCCTGTCTTTGCTAATATAGGGACTCTTTTTTCTTCTAAACAGAGTTTTTGGACTTTGCTGTATTGCCTGTGTGGGCGTTACAAGAGTATTGCTCTACTAAAAGGAGTTCTGTTCCTGAGGAAGATCCTAGGAGTTTTCCATGCCACACAGCAGGGTTATTAAGCATAGTATGGCAGGACAAGCTTGCCCATCAGATACAGTATAGCACAGTGGTCTCCGCTCATGAGGTCATGTAGACTCAGTGTGGAGTCAGCCTGCCATCCAGCATTTTATTTCGTAATGGAGATGATGTTAGGACTGAATTTAGTAAAGGGATTGTGTGCTTCTGTGGGTGAAGGACATTTCACTGTCCATATTGCTGTTAACAAACACCTTCTGTAATCCTCCCATACCTCTGTTTCAGGATCCTTGCAACTCTTCCCCTTTGCTACCTTTTGTTTAGAGGTGCACTGATAGAGATTTTGGGGGCTGATACCAATAGCCAATTTTTAAGGAAGCATGTCGGCAGATACTGATCTAATTTCCGATACAGCAGCATGCAGCTGGTAAGTCTGTTGTGGTAGATGGGGAGTGGGGAGGGAAGGGGTGTAGGGGGGCAGATCAAGGCCTCTGTGGTGAAGGAGGAAGTGGGGTTGAGGCTGGGGTCGGCACTGCCCAGCTAGGGGAGGGCGTGAGATGAAGCCATGGTTCATCTGGGGGTCGTGGGCAGGGGGGTAGGGCCCCTGTTGCTTCATGCACCCCTGGAGGGCACCGTGGGGAGGAGAGGTGGGGCTGGGGCGAGATGCCCCTGTGGGCTTGGGGCCAGGCTCTTCCCGGCACATGGGAGCTGCACTTGGGGCGGGTGGCGGTGGTGCTGGGAGGAGGCTTACATGGGGGAGGGGGGGCTGCAGCCACCCCAAATTCTGGTCTAGCCTCCTCCTAGTGCTGCTGCTACCACCTGCCCTGAGCACAGCTCTGCAGCCCCCACGCACCAGGAAGAGCCCAGTGCAGCCCCAGCCTGCAGCGGCATTTCCTCCCTCCCCTGCCCCCCCACA